AGAAGGGGAACTAAATCAAGTAACACCTGTGCAAATGAGTGAGCTGATGCAAAATGAGGTAGGATCGTCGTCTAATGGAGTAACAGTTGCAAAAAAACTTCAATTGAGCCCAGATCCGGCACAATTGAAGTTAAAAGAAGTGGAAGAAGCAGTTAGAGTAGAACCGAAGCAAATCGAGGAAGTGCAAGCTCAGGAACCCAATGGAACAGCGATACAAGCTACAGTACAACAACCAACTCAAAAATGGGTGAATCTATTTGTGAACAACAGATCTGTAGAAAGCGGTATGGCCTTATCTTATATTGCTCCTCAATTAGTAGATGGCAAAGTAGTTGTTCAATTGGAGAAAGAGGAAGTAGAACGGGAGACTGAAAAATGGAAAGGAGCCTTAATTGCTTATGTAATTGGGGATTGCCCTGGGTATAATGCAATGAGCAGATATATAGATCTAAAGTGGAACAAAATTGCAAGCCCAGAGTTGTTCATGCATGAGGAGGGTTATTTCATCATCAAATTCCAATCAGTTGATGATATGAAAGAAATCCTATGCTAAAATTCCAATCAGTTGATGATATGAAAGAAATCCTATGCTCAGGACCATATACTATCAATAGCAGACCAATCATTCTGAAGCCATGGACTCCGGAATTTGATTTTGATAATGAATTTCCTACTGAGATACCAATATTGATCAAGCTGCCAAAATTGCCTATGAATTGTTGGGGGATAAACTCACTAAGTAGGATATCAAGTGCTATTGGGATACCAATGTATGCAGATAAATGCACTGCCAAGCAAAAACGAGTGTCATATGCTCGGATGCTAGTGGAAGTTAATGTGACAAAACCATTACCTGATCAAATTGAAGTAACAGATCCAAAGGGCAGAGTATTTCCACAGATTGTTCTATATGACTGGAAACCATTATTTTGTGAGAAATGTCAAGTTATTGGTCATGAATGTCCAAAGGACCAAAGAAAGAATGATGAACAACCAGCTAAACAGGATGGGCACAAAAGAATAGTGCAGAGATGGGTGACAAAAGAACAACCAAAGGAACAACAAGACAACAAAAATGGAGACAATCAGGTAGCTGGAACAAAAGTTAGAAGCAATGAAACAGATGACATTTACAAACAAATGGAAGAGAAACAAGCAACAGCTATGATTCAGGAGCAGAAACAAAGGGAGAGGACTGATATTGAAACACCTGATAAAGGGAAAAACATGGTTCCAGAACTCAATCTACAGGAGTTTCCAATATTATGCTCAGTGCCAACTAAGAATGTCTTTGCTGTGTTGAACAGAGCTCAAGGTGGATCAAAGTCTGCACCCCCTGACAAAGGGGGAGGAACCAGTTTGTAACAAATGAAGTGGCTGTTTTGGAATATAAGGGGAGTAAATAAGAAGTATAAGCAGAAGGAACTGAGAAATTATATAAAAACTAAACATATTACTTTAGCTGGAATAATAGAAACTAAAGTCAAGGAGCATAATGCAACAAATGTGGCTACTAATGTGGTAACTAACTGGGAATTTCTGAATAATTACAGGAGTGCAGTAAATGGAAGAGTTTGGCTATTATGGGATAGTAGACTATATACTGTGAATAAATTGAAAGAAGAGGCTCAGTTACTCCATTGTCAAGTCAATACAATAGCATCAAAGAAGACTTGTGTTATAACTGTAATCTATGGTTATAATACATGTGAGGAAAGGAAAAGGGTATGGGAAACGCTTAAAACTCTGGCTCAAGGAATAAATATGCCATGGTTAGTTGTTGGAGATTTTAATGCTGTGTTATATCCTCAAGACAGGCTCAATGGGAATCCAGTACAATATGGTGAGATTAAAGACTTCAATGATTGCATTCATGACCTCCTACTTAATGAGGTGAGATGGACAGGGGACTACTATACCTGGAGTAACAAACAGCAAAGCAGGGAAAGAATCTATAGCAGACTAGATAGGGCATTTGGCAACCATGAATGGATGATGGAGTGGGGGCACTTAGTGATGGAATATGATGTTCCATTAATTTCAGACCATAATCCAATGGTGTTTGAGTTACAGACAAATCAGAGAGACATAAAAATACCATTCCGATTCTTCAACACTTGGGCAGATCATAGCAAGTTTCAACATATAGTGAAGCAAACATGGCAACAAAAGCTGTCAAGATGGAAGATGCAAGATGTATGGATGAAGTTGAAGGCATTAAAACCATTATTCAAGCAATTGAATAATGAGGAGTTCAGAAACATAACACAGAGGATAGACAATGCAAGAAGTGAGTTAGTATGGATCCAGAAACAGCTGACATTAAAATGCACAGAAGAGTTGGTGGAACAGGAAAAGAACAGTCTGCAGATCCTGGAAAAATGGACTTTGATAGAGGAGAACATCATGAAGCAGAAGTCAAGAGCCAAATGGATCCAACTAGGGGATTCAAACACAAAATATTTTTCAGCAGTGGTCAAGGACAGAAGTCAGAGGAAAACTATTAAGGAAATCACTTCATTAAAGAATGAGAACCTTACAGACCCAAAGGAAATTCAGGAGGAGATTGTAAAATTTTATAAATCCTTAATGGGATCCTCTGCAAAGGAACTGCCAGCTATAAACAAGTTGAATATGAAAGGAGGACCTGTTCTGAATCAGCAACAAAAACTAGATCTGATAGCTCCAGTGACAGAAGAGGAAATCCAACAAGGCCTTGAGTCAATTGGTGAAGATAAAGCTCCTGGGATAGATGGATATAATGCTACCTTCTTCAAGAAAGCATGGGGGATCATCAAGGAAGAGGTTTGTGCTGCAGTATTGGAGTTTTTCAGAACAGGGAGGATGTACAAAGCCATAAACTGTACAGCTATCACATTATTGCCAAAGAATGACAATCCCAGAACTGTGAAGGAATATAGACCAATAGCCTGCTCCAATATTTTGTACAAATTGATCTCAAAGGTTATAGCAGCAAGGATTCAAAAAGTCATTGCTACTATAATAAGTGAATCACAGGCAGGTTTCATACCTGGAAGGAAAATTGGAGACAACATTATCCTAGCTCATGAGCTTGTGAAAGCTTATACTAGGAAACACATCACACCAAGATGCATGATCAAAATAGACCTCCAAAAAGCTTATGATTCAGTGGAGTGGATATATTTGGAACAAGTGTTAGGAGAATTGGGATTCCCCAATCAATTTATCAATTGGATCCTTGAATGTATGAAAACAGTAAGCTATACTATTCTGATAAATGGTGAGACATCAATTCCTTTCAATGCTGCTAAAGGTCTTAGACAGGGAGATCCTATGTCTCCATTCTTATTTGCTATAGCAATGGAGTACCTGAGTAGGAGTCTAAAAGAAATGACAAAGAAGGCAGAGTTCCACTACCATCCCAGATGTTCAAAGTTAGCAATCACACACTTATGCTTTGCTGATGATCTGTTACTCTTTGCTAGAGGAGATTTATCATCAGTAGTCACTGTCCAACAATGCTTCAACCAGTTCTCAGCTGCTTCAGGACTCAAGGCAAATCTGGCAAAAAGCTCAATCTATTTTGGAGGTGTGAAGAGAGAAGATAGAGACAGAATGTTACAAGAACTGGGATTGGTTGAAGGGGAACTACCTTTTAAATATCTAGGGGTCCCATTATCCACCAAGAAGCTATCTCTAGTCCAATGGCAACCACTTATAGAGAAGATTGTGGCAAAGATATCTGCATGGACAGCAAAGAAGTTATCCTATGGAGGAAGAGTTCAACTGGTGCAGACTGTTTTATTTGGAGTCCAAGCTTATTGGGCTCAAATCTTTGTACTGCCCACCAAAGTCCTGAAAGTAATTGATGCCTACTGTCGTAGTTACATATGGTCTGGATACAATACTATCACCAAAAAAGCTCTAGTATCATGGGAAAGAGTATGTGCACCAAAGAGCATTGGAGGTCTGGGGTTAGCAAATCTACAGAAATGGAACAAAGCAGCTATTGCAAAGAACTTTTGGGATCTTACTCAGAAAAAAGACAAGCTATGGATAAAATGGATCCATACATATTATATCAAGGACCAAGCAATAGAAAAAATGACAATTCCACAACAAGCATGCTGGATGACAAGAAAAACTATGGAAGCCAGGACAATCTTTGAAGGAAGACAGTGGAAATTCAAGCAAGAAAGAAGCATCACAAAGCAAATATATATTCAGATGATTGGAGATGAAACAAGAGTGCCATGGAAGGACATGATGTTTAACAATGCAGCTCGTCCTAAAGCAAAATTCACTCTATGGTTACAACTTCAGGGCAAATAACTAACTACTGACAGGTTAGTAAAATGGGGTATGGAAATTGATACACAATGTGTTATGTGTGGAAATGCAGCAGAAACACATAAGCATCTTTTCTGGGAATGCAACTTTGCTAAAGATATCTGGCACATAATGAATCAGTGGACTCATGGCAAGATAATGAACACAAGTGATAGGCAGCAACATCAACAGGAGACAATTAGAAGAGCTAAAGGAAAGACTCGGACTGCACAGATATTGAAGATGATATACACAGAATATGTTCATAGCATATGGATAGAGAGAAATATGAGAATTTTTGAGAAAATATATAGATCTAGTGAATCAATAGCTAGAGAAATTGCATGTATTTGTAGTATTAGAGCAGTAGCAAAAACTAGAGATATAGTCAATACTTTTAAAATCTAGTTGCATCAGAGAATGACTGAATGGCTAGCTAACTGTGATAGTTAAACTACGGATTTGTAAAGACCTTTGGTGATAAATAAAATATTTAGTTACCAAAAAAAATAACTCAAATTATCAAACACCATTTTCACTTGAATTTTTTTTCCCCATTTTTTTCTGAAAATTTATATTTCTTATATCCAACGCCCACTAATATTAATATGGGACACATAGGCAATGTGCATAAAATATTAAAAGAATTGTACTACATTATTCTACTTCTACTAATATAAATGCACGAACTCCACCAATTTTTTTCACACAACCAGTAAGAAGAGAAGAAGCTAAGAAAATATGAAGAACAACATTTCTTCAAAATTCATGCTTCTTCTTCTTTTACTTACAGTTGAAAAAATCCATGGAAGCTACCACGACTACACAGACGCATTAACAAAATCCATTCTCTTTTTCGAAGGCCAACGTTCCGGCTATTTACCACAAGACCAGAGAATGAACTGGCGAGGACATTCCGGTTTAGGCGACGGGTGGCCGGTGAATACCGACTTGACCGGCGGCTACTACGACGCCGGCGATAATGTTAAGTTTAATTTTCCGATGGCATTTACCACTACATTGTTGGCTTGGAGTGTGATTGAATTTGGGGAGTATATGCCTCCCTCTGAATTAAGGAATGCTTTAGTCGCTATCCGTTGGTCCACTGATTATCTTCTCAAGACTGTCTCTCAACCCAATCGCATTTTTGTCCAGGTTTGTTAATTAATTAGTAACCTTTTTTGCTTTTTGATGGGACTAAACGAAACGAACACCATTCGTTTTATCAGAATTCGGACTTTTTTTTGTGCTAAACTTTTACTGGACCTGTATGTCATGCATGTGAAAATATTAATACACTCATCATTTCATTTTAAATGACTATATTTGATTAATAAACACGGAAAAAGTAAAAAAGAGTTTTAAAATTTGTGATCTGGAACCCGCCATGATATTAATGTCTCTAAGAGTATGTAACTAAGAGCAAAATAAGATATTTAACGTTAATTTAGTTTTAAATATATAAAGCTATGATTTTTTTTTAAATAGAAGGGGAGCCCTGACGTAACTGTTACAATTGATGTCATGCATGTGACCAAGAGGTCATGAGTTCGAGTCGTGGAAACAATATCTTGTAGAAATACAGGGTAAGACTGCGTACAATAGACACTCGTAGTCCGACCCTTTTTCGAACCCCACGTATAACGAGAGCTTGGTGCACCAGGCTGCCTTTTTATTATTTTTAAAACAGATCAAAAAAAAAAAAAAAGAGTTCCACCTAAATTGAATCTGTTTGAAAATGACATTGAGTTGGATAGCTTTTATTTTCTCTTTTACTATGAATGGTGTATATGCCAACTTGCTTTATCTCTATTAATTCTATAAGTGCTATCTACCTTTCATCGGCACAAAGATAGGATATCTACCCGTCAAAGACTTAGGCAGATATCTTTTTTGGGATTTAAACTCTTTTTATCTCTTACTATAATTTTTACTCATTTCATTAACCGTTAAATCACGCTGTTAAAATTTTAAACTGGATTAGTTTTTTAGTGAGACTGTTCCTTAAGCCTAAGGTCTATCGAAAATAGCCGCTCTATCTTTATAGGGTAGGGGTAAGATTGTGTACACACTATCCTTTTGAGACCCCATATATGAGATTAAGCTGAATTTCTTGTTGTAATAGTAGTAGTTTTTTAGTGAGACTAATAAAAGATGTACCCGTTTTAATTTCAATGATTTGGTCTGATTAGGTGTGAAAAACTTTGGTTTACTTAACGAATCGGTTGGATATAAAAAGGATTTTTGAGTGGCAGGTTTTATGGTTCTTCTGATATGAGACATGTGAAGCTATGAGTTAATAATAGCAGTAGTAGTACTGTGAGTAGATGATGGGGTTGGTTGAAATTGATTCTTAGAGTGGATATGTTTTGTCTATTTCTCTCTCAACTCTTTTCTTTTGGGGCATACGGCGCTATCTTTTGGTTTCACCAAATTTTTATACCTTTGATTTCGTGCAGCTCAACTTCCTATACCATCTTGCTTTCTCTTGATTCATCAAAATGGAGTTAAATATGTAGGCGTTTGGACATAAAAATTATAATTCTTGAAAAAAGTACTAGTAGTATTTAGAGTTAACTTAAAAACTAGTATATGAAATTATGTTTGGATAAATATTGCAGTTTTGTGAGTGCCGAAAAAGAAATTTTCTGAAAATTTTAAAAACCGGTCAAAACCACTTTTTGATTTTTGAGAAACTCATTTTTGAATTTTTTTCAAAAACTTGCAAAATTTATAGACAAACATATTTTTTCTAAAAAAAAAGTTGAAAAAAGAAAAAATTTCTTATGGACAAACGGAGCCTTATATCATTTGTTTTAGGTAAAATAAAATAAAGATTAAGTGATCATCTATTAAATAGTCGAACTTTTATCCTTTTGAGATTTGCATAGGCAAGAAAACATAAGTTTCTCCAAAATTCACAAAAAAATTGGTGCACGGGCATGGTTGGTGAGATCTTGATTAGATCTATTACCCCATGTTAGTTCCCACTAAAAAGAATTAGTAGCTTCTAAATATGTCTTTATTTCTTGTCTTAAACGCATTTATGTCGTTGTTTCTTTTCTCAAACAAAGTTTAATTATATACATCAAAATTTACAGAATATTTTACGCTCAGTGATAAATATTGCAGTAGTAACTCAAATTGCCTTATGTGTTACTCTCTCCTGTCCATAATAAGTGACCAATTTGCTTTTTTATTTTTGGTCCAAAATAATTGTCCATTTATATAATCAAAGAAAATATTCAATTTGTTTTTTCCACAATTACCCTTATGTATGTGTTCCTAAAAAGTCATTTACTCCTCACATTTGAGAAGAGAAGCAAGTGCTACCATAATTATGGTGCAACATTTAATGAAGGGTAGTTTAGTCACACTAACTTTTTCATCTAGAATTTAATATTTTCTTAATTGGTGTGCCAAAAGCAAATTGGTCACTTATTATGGACCGGAGGAGGGAGTAGTAATATTTTGTAAAGGTAAGTTCTGTTCCGGCAAACACGTGAACTCCATATGTTTGTTTGCTTTAAGTAATACCGCCCAACTGAAAACAATTGTTACCTTGGTGTTGGTCCCGTTGCATTTCGCTTTTGTGCTAAGATTTTTTGTCCTTGTATGATACGACTTTTATTGTATTTTTAAAGTTATGAGTTCAGACCTCTAAGTATCTGCTAAGTACCTTTATCTCATATTGAGAGACGGATTTAAGATTTAAGTTTTATGGCTTCAAGTTTTAAGATTTTTTAAATTTATTGTATTTTTTAAAGTTATGAGTTCAGACCTACCATTAGCTGTAATTTTAGAAATTATACACATATATTTTTACTTCGCATCGAAAGTAATGAGTTTAGATAAACCTCGAGGCCAAACTCTACATCTGCCCCTGCTTCTACCGTTCTTTAAAAAATTTAACTTAAATACAATTTAGTATTAAAAAATTGACATCATTAATAGCAAGTATCGATCATCTTGTTATTCCCCACAATTTATAAAAGATTATTATAATAATTATTTCTTAAGTGATTTAATAGTGTAACATTCTCTATACTATTGGTGTCTCTCGAACCGCATTTTTCACCTAAAAAAGCTAATGTCTCATGTGACACTTTAATTTATTTCCTTTGGATAGAAAATGTAAGAGAATTAAATGGGACATTACTAGCAATAACTTTTGGTAGCTGAGTTACTTCTTTTGCTATTTTGATGCTATAGGTGGGGGATCCAGTCCTAGACCATAACTGTTGGGAAAGGCCAGAAGATATGGATACTGCTAGGACAGTATATACAGTGGATGCTCCGAATCCGGCATCCGACGTGGCCGGAGAGACTGCAGCTGCGTTCGCAGCTGCATCCATTGCTTTCCGGTCGTCGGATCCCGGATATTCAGACACACTCTTGAGAACTTCCACTAGGGTGTTTGATTTTGCAGATAGGAACCGTGGAGCTTACAGTGACAATGCCAATATTAGAGATGGAGTTTGTCCGTATTATTGTGATTTTGATGGATATCAGGCAAGCATTCTTCTCCCTAATTTGTCGTTATATTAGTCGTAGCTAGCAGAATTTCTTAATAAAATGTCGCTAATTCGTCGCTAAATGAGATTAGCAATGAATTTTTCTGTTTATAATTAGTCCGTCGCAAAAACCTAATTTTTTAGTAGTGTCTGTTGCTAAATAATTAACTCATTTATTGTAGATCATTAGACAAATAGCTAATCCAGGCATAATTATGATATGGTATGTGAAAATAATTATATATTCAGGTCATTTATTTATATAATTATAGGTAAATTTTTATGATAAACATAATTGCTAACTTGGTAAAAATGGCACATCAAACCTAATTTCACGATTAAACTAACATGGTCATGAAAAGAATCTTTATACTTAGAGAGTATAAATGATACAATCACAATCTTTTCATTGTTAAAAATATTTTTACAATGTATGTTTAATAAAAACAAATTGTTATTCTCAAAATAGTCCACAGACCCCACTTGTGAGTTGTTGTTATTGTATTCTCAAAATAGTAATGATGTCGCACAGGGCCGTATAGTAATATGTGATCTAGTACGGGCACTTTTAATATTTTTCGCTGTTTAATATATTGTTGTTGTAGATTTCGAATAAGTACCTATGTTAAATTGCACTGATTGTTGAAATTGGTAAATAAGGTATATAACACATTAAACATGTCAAATGACATACATTATATAAAAAGTTATTTATATTATCGGTAATTATAATTACTTAGAGCTTTTGTACAATAGGATGAATTGTTGTGGGGAGCAGCGTGGCTGAGAAGGGCTACCCAGAGTGACACTTACATGAATTACATACAAGAGAATCGCCAAACACTTGGGGCAGATGACAACATCAATGAATTTGGATGGGACAATAAGCACGCTGGACTTAATGTTCTTGTTTCTAAGGTCAGTTTCATTATTCATTCCTACACTCTTCATTAAGAATAAAGATAAGTCGGGATTGTAATGCAGAGATTAATAATGCAGGAAGTAGTGGAAGGGAGCGTGTATTCGCTCCAATCGTACAAAGCATCAGCAGATAGTTTCATGTGCACATTAATCCCAGAATCATCATCTTCACATATACAATACTCTCCTGGTGGCCTAATTTACAAACCAGGAGGAAGCAATTTACAACATGCTACAACCATCACATTTTTACTCCTCATCTACGCAAATTACTTAGAAAAATCATCACAAATCTTGAATTGTGGCACCATTAGTGTCAATCCATCGATGCTTCGAAAAATTGGTAAGAGACAAGTTGATTACATATTGGGAGATAATCCTAAAGGAATGTCTTACATGGTTGGTTATAGTAATTACTATCCTTCAAAAATTCATCATCGTGGCTCGTCCCTTCCATCGATTAAAGATCATCCTCAGTTCATCGCGTGCAAAGAGGGTTCGATTTATTTTAACTCATCACAACCAAATCCTAATGTTTTAGTTGGTGCAATTGTTGGTGGTCCTGGAGAAGATGATGTTTATGATGATAGTAGGGATGATTTTCGTAAATCTGAGCCAACTACTTATATTAATGCACCATTTGTAGGTGTACTTGCTTATTTTGCTGCTAATCCTAACATTAGTTAAGAGTCCCAGATCAAATTGTTCTGGTGATGATTTGTATATATAGTCTCTCGTCTTGCATATGCTAAGAAGGAAGAGGCTCTTTGGTTTCAATTCATATGAGAATATATATAGTCACAATAGCTTATTGTGTGGCATTTGTAGAGTGTGAGCATTAATATTCAAATTTAACATGTAAAAATGTTACATGTTGCTTTATAAAAGTTTAGAAAAGAATAAAGTACTAAATCTTAAAAATGATTGTGCCTCTCTTTGGATGAAGGAGCATTCGTAACTCGTGATTTTTGTTGTTATTTTAAATTGGGCAAAGATCACTTTTAGTCCATGGTCGGAACTATTTATATCCGATAGCCGTAAAAGTGTATAAAATTTATATATAACATACAGAAATGTGTGTATATATATAAAGTATACAGTTTTCGGCTATTATTTTAAGAGCGACTGTACATTGTTATTTTCCTTTTTAAATTTAAGGCTATTGCAAATGAAGTAGTTGGACCCTCTCAAAATGAAATTTTCTTTCTATTTTTCCATATGTAAAAGACTAGTTAACCGGTTAACCATTCTTGTTTTTAATTAATGGTTTTTGTGCCACTTGATAATATATTTTTTGCCGCATTAATACAATTATAAAAACCGAAAACTCAAAAAAGAGCGTTCTTTGAAAACAATTCTCGTGAAGTTCCATTGCAACACTCGTAAAAATAAATTGTTTTCTAGTCCATACACCATTGAAATCTTTTAAACTGGCACATCCAAATTCACTTCGAAAGAAGAATAAGAAACACAACTATTTTGTGTCAATTTATAATTTTTTTTTGAATTTGGTAGAAGGAAATTGAAGAGGTAAAAGAAACAAAGCAGAGGAATCTTTATTATCTCGAAGCAGGTGTGCATCCATTTATTATCTCGAAGAATTAATCCAAATAGTCGCTCATCCAACTAAAAATTATCGGTGGATGTATAATTTTAATAGATTTTATGTATTATATGTGTATAATTATGTATAAGCAACGTATAATTTATATGTATGGCTAGAAATAGGAACAATGACGACCGGTTATTTGTGTAAAAATCCCTTATATATCGAAAAATTATCCACATTTTATCTTTATAAATCACATTAACTACTAATCTCTAGAAGTGACAAATTGAGGTAATATATATACCTCATTCATTATATCCTATATGACATTCTTATCGTTTTAGTCTATTAAAAAAAGAATGATATATTTAAAAATTCTTTGACTTTGAACTTTTTAATTTACCATTAATGAAGATCACAAGTTTTAAGATACTTTTGATAAGTAGCAATAATATTATTTTTCTTTCTTAAATTCTTTATTTAGTTACACAAGGATATAAAATGTATAGATAGTCTATTTAAAGGGTACAAGACTTTGAAAAATATATAATTTCGTATGCCCTGCTGACAACAGATCCGTTGTAGTCTAGGTGGTTAGGATACTCGGCTCTCACCCGAGAGACCCGGGTTCAAGTCCCGGCAACGGAATTTTTTATTTTTTTTTTTATTTTTAACGTTCTTTGCATTTTTTTAATTTTGAGTGTCACACCAGATGACCAGAATACGCTCAATCCCTTAATTCGAAACTTCACAAAGCCCAAAATTATTAATTCTTTGCGTCTTTTCCCCGAGAAGTAGCCGAGGGTGAAGCTTCATTGTTCTCAAAATCTCCTGCCTATTTCGTATTGCGGTGAAACCATAGATTCTATAACAGAAGAGGCAAATAAGCAGACGTATAGGTATTCTTTTTGAATCTCTTTTGTTGCTTCTTTTTTGTTTGAGCTCGCTGGTTATTTGAGAAAAAGCTGGCACATAAGTGGACGTATATGGATTTAGGGTTTTTTAAAGTATGTTCCTCGTGATTTTGAAGTGATAAATTAATATATCTGGCTTGATATGGTAGTTTACTATTTCGATAATTCATTTATTTTCTTAGGAGATAGTAAAGTTCCAAGTTTTGAAGTCGCATTTTCCAGATATCGTTTCAAATTTCTTTCAACCCATTTGGCAAATTGCAGGCTGCAGCTATATAAAGTTAGGTGATTTACTAGGTATAGTTCATCTTGATTTTGGTCTATATTTTCTTCCTTTGAAAACATTGATGTGGTGGCGTGAAACTTGATTTAATTATCTAATGTTATAACCAATAATTTATGAGGAATTATTGAACTCAATCACTGAGATTCTCGATATTTGTTAGAAGAGTAATACATGATTGAAGTGACAACACTTGAGCATTGCTGAATGTCTTTGACTTGGCAAAATGCGATTGTAAACTACTGACTGTTTCATGGGTATATGATAATGGATGACTTTGACAAAGAGGAATATGGATTTAATTTGGGTTCTTTAGCATTTTGCTACTACTTTGTATTTCTTCTCTACTTGTTCATTCCAGAATTAAGATGAAAGAAAGTTGTAAAGTTTGGACTTAAAGTCAATTTTTCACCTTTTTGCTGTGTGGGAGGAGAGGCTTGGGGTAGGTACAAGTGGAAAGCAAGGCCAGGTAAGGATTCAAGTTAGGAGCTTTAGGAATGAGCTAGTACTGAATTCTCGTCGATGTGGAAACTGAATGGAGAAAAGGTACATTTAGATATTACTCATCATAGAATTGCATCCTTGAGGAATAGTCGCATATCATTAGTTTCTATATGTGAAGGGACCCTTTGTTTACTCTGCTTATTATCTCTGAATTTCCAAAGATATATCATAGTCAAAACTTAGGTTTTGGCGTATAAGATGTTTTACTACTGATGTTATAGTATATGCAAATTTATTGGTTGCTTTCTATCATTTTCTGACGAAGTTATGTTGGTTATGTCTGCTGTACCTGCAGTGTGGTTCTGCCTTGGGATTCTGTCAACTAGGCTGAGACTTTACATGATGAGTGACTCTTTTATTCGAGTGAAATCTTCTTTTCCCTTCTGGTTGAGTATGGATTAAATCATTAAATCCAATTCCTCCATCCCTCTATGCTTCTGTATCTTTAATCCTTACCTGGCTCGTCGTAGTGACACTTAGCCTTTAAACTGAATTCATCAATTAGTTAGGCAGTAAGTACTGCTACAACAACTGAAGATATTCATCTGTCTCTATCTTGCTGGTATTATAACTTTTTAGGTTTGATCCTAAAGAATTTCCCTTGTTGTGAATTGTTGATGCAAGTAACCCACTTTTTTTGTCATCATCTTGTTATTGAAACCTCAGCTTCAAGACATTTGAGATCGTTTCTTTGTGGTTTTCTTTTAATTGCTAGTGCTTGGACTTGGAGTCATAAACCGTAAGTGTATAGAGGTCCTGAGATAGAACACCAATTGCCGCCACAAAGAAAGGGACTTCTTAAAAGCTAGTCTACTCTATATTTGCTTACTTAATTTAGTCAGAAATACCGTATTCTGTCAAAAAAAGTGAGTTAATTTGGAAGTGATCTGAGTCGCTTGGTATTTGTTTGATGAAGGTAGATGGTATCTTGGATCCTAGTATTATAAAATGTTCGTTGACAGTTCATGAAGGCTTTACCTATGTACTTTCTGTTGCAGGACGGTTGTAAGGAATATGGCTGAGCTTCTCTCCATGGCCATGGCTGATGATGATGACATGAAAGATGCCAGTGTTTCTCCACTTGATCTAAATTCTATAGGTGGCAACGAGAGTGAAGATGTTCTTTCACCTGAGGATATAGCATGGGCTGACTCATGCCTCATTAAAGATCTTGCTATATCAGACCATGGCATGGATTCTTCGAAACATGTGTCACCGGACGCTTTTCCTTCCCAAAAAATCTTTTCTGCAGTCTCAAGGGATGACTCTCCTCAAGAATCTCGTATTTTCCCCACCGTCGAAGAGACAGGAATTTCAGGGATGGTAGATGACACCATTGATGATGTTTCTCCAACCAATGAACAAGAAGAGAACACAACTCGTCATCTGATTAACAACAAAGATACAGATAGTTCTTGGTCCAGAATTAACTCAGAAAATGATTTTCCTCCCACCTATAATGAGGATCTGAGATTAGTTGAAGACTCCCATTCTGAAGTAGATTCAGAGTTTTCAACATTTGTTGAGGAAAATTTGGCTGACATATTCAAGGTATGGGAACTTGACATTCCAGATGAGGAAGATGAACTTGTTAAACAGTTCAACAAAGCCCTCGCAGGAAGCTCCTTTGACTCCACCCCTTCAGAAGCCGAAAATCTTGGAGTACTGCTGGACGATAAGTTACTTGATGATATCATTTCTGGCCTTGATGACCTGTCGTTGAGTCCAATAAATGGCTAAGTTATGTTGCAAATTCAAATTCTGGTCGAGAGCATCGGTTTGCAGCTTACTGATTCTGATTTTTTCCTGTTCTATATTTTAGTTACTACCTCTATTTAGCTCGATAATTAAGTAGCAACTAGTGTAAGAAAACAGGCTTTTGTCCTTAAAACTTCCCTTGTATATAAGTATAGATTTCTTATATAATGCTTTCCTTCCTTTGGACTGGAGTCTATTAGCTGATGCAAGAGACTGGGTTTTAGCTTTGGTGCATGAAATTTTTTCTTAAGTTATTTCTTTCAGCCGTCTAAAACTTGAGACAGAAACAATTAAAAGTGGGAATTAGTTCTTAGTAGTTGCAAGTCACAGATATAAATTTGCTGCGACTTACTGAGACATAATGATCCAGTCTCTTCAGCCACACTCATTAGTCTCACATTAACTAAACTCCAGGAGATGGGATTATTTGCACTATATGGCCTTTTTTGAGGTTATTCTTTAAGTTCAGTGAGCTAAATCTCGTCCTTAAAAAGTAGTTAGATAAATTTTCATTTACAAATTTAGCTCACTGGCCTGATAGAGAGATTCTAAAGAGTAGCCTTACAAAATGTCATTTGTGCACATGCCTCAATGTACATAGCCTTTCGGACTTCCACATTGAAATTGTTGAATATAAAGTTATCTGCAACTCAGTAGCTGAGCCAGGATTTTCACTAGGGGATGTCAAAAATTAAAGAAATAAATACACAAAAAAATCAAGGAGATTCAACACCTCATATACATACATAAAAGATTACATATCTAAACCAGTGTAATTTTCCAGCGAAAGAGTGTTCAATTGACACCCCATGGAGCTGTGTGGCTCCGCCACTGCTGGTACTGACTCCGGTGGGAAATAGTAGGTATTCGGTAGATGCAAGCAAACCGGTCCAGGCACTACTGTTATTAAAAAAGAATTGCTGAATAATTGAAAGTCATTGTCAAGCCCAATCCTGGAACTGAACCATGACCACTGATCACCTCGGGATAACCAAAACAAACAGGGAAATGTTACCAAGCCACTCAAGGTAGGATTGCTAATCAGAGCCTCGCGTTTGGTTTCCATTGCTTTGAGCAAAAACCAACTTATTTGTAGTCTAGTGTAATCTGATGCTGATGCCTGCTTAAACCATTAAATAACTCCAAAAAACCAAGTAGAAGAAATCAATGTTTTTAAATTCCACATACCATAATTTACTACTCCTACTATTTATGAATAGTTTTTACGAGGTGGGAATCATTCCATCTATTTCAACCACTTGTACTATATGCCAAGCAGGCAAAAAAACACAAGATTACATGGCAAGCTGACATTGGTTGGAGCATAACAACCTCAAATGAGACATCTTTAGTAACAGATTAGTACAGTTATAAATTCTGGCACTCTGTTTGAGAAATTTGTGTGGCAAAGAGTAACAGTAAGAAGAGAGTGTGCTGAGATAAGGAGATTGTAGTAGAGAGAAGAAAAAAAAATTTAGAAAAAATGGCCTCAGCATCTCTACTAAAATCATCCCCAACAGTTCTTGACAAGTCTGAGTTTGTAAAAGGGCAAAGCCTTCGTCAAACTTGTGTCTCAGTTGTTCGCTGCCACCCCACCAATGCTCCTTCTCTCATTGTCCGCGCTGCTTCCCCGTATGCTGATGAGCTTGTTAAGACCGCTGTAAGTTTTAGCTTAGCAAGTTTATGTTTTGTGTGCTGTCAGTATAAAGAATTTTTACACTATCAGCTTAAGTTGACCTAAAACAATATGCTATTCTCTATATATCAAGCCTGTCTTGTTAACCTGATTATAACCTGTTAAATTGAAAGATTTCTTCTTATGAATTGTTCATTTTAAATAAGTCGTTCTTACTCAAACCAATAAATAGAGTTGGGGTAATAGTCAGGGGCGAAGCTACACTCTGGTAAGGGTGGTCAATTGACCGTCCTTCGTCGTTTTGGAGGTATATAACATATATTGAACACCCTTTGTCAGGGTTTTTCTTACTTCTTTCAAGTTTGAACACCTTTGAGTCCTGGATTAGCCTTTGATTGCATGCAAATTCTTTGCACTTTCAATGTATAAACTTTAATTCTTAGCTTTGAGTTTGTGTTCCGTGGACTGACAATGTAAAAACTTGTTACTGATAGTTAAGTTGACCTAGATAGAGTAATAGAAATAGGTTTAGTTAAACCCATCATTTTCAGTATGTATGTGAAAACCTTGAAAAGTAGTATAAATATCAATTTTTAATCCCATCTTTTCAAAGAACTTAGAGTATTGAACCCATTAAGTTTAATGTTCGATTCGCCTTGAATTTAAAGTAGCAAAATGTTAAATGGAATAAGGGCTTTAACAATGAAGTGTTTGTTGCTTGTAGAAAACCGTTGCATCACCAGGACGCGGAATTTTGGCTATGGATGAATCCAATGCTACCTGTGGAAAGCGTTTGGCTTCAATTGGTTTGGAAAATACTGAGGCTAACCGCCAAGCTTACCGTACCCTGCTTGTGACAGCTCCAGGACTTGGACAGTACATCTCTGGTGCTATTCTTTTTGAGGAGACTCTCTACCAATCAACCGTTGATGGCCGCAAAATAGTTGATGTTCTTGTTGAACAAAACATTGTTCCTGGTATCAAAGTTGACAAGGTATTTTAATCTTCACCCACAACTTGAAAAGGAAAAAAACAAGAGGACGACGATAAAGAGGAAACAATTTCAGTAAAATATATAGTGAACTTTTTAGTAACTTCTATTTTTATTTTTATTTGTATAATATTGGTCTCATGTGAGTTTAAATGCAATGACATGATCAGCGAGAATCTATATAGCCGAACCCAACTTGCTTGGGATTGAAGTGTAATTATAGTTGTAGTAACAAGAGCATGTTATAGGGTGATGAAACCTTAGGTTTGATTCTTAAAGTAACTTTATCTTGTTCAACTTAGAGTTGCTTATCTGGTGAAGCTATCTCAGACAAGATTTAAGTATGCTGATATTTGTTAGGCTTTTATTAGGTTGGTTTCTCCTTATGTACAGAGTGTTAAATGAGAGGATATCAAGTTTAATGATGAATTGGACTGGAATTAGATTTCTATCAAAATCCCCTAATCATTTTATCTGTTAACAGGGTTTGGTTCCCCTTGCTGGTTCAAATGATGAGTCATGGTGTCAAGGTCTTGATGGCCTCGCCTCCCGCACTGCTGCATACTACCAACAGGGTGCACGTTTCGCCAAATGGTATATCCAACAATGCGGCATAATTTTCAAAAATATTGACTTTTTTATGTCTAAATTGATATGTGCTAAAATTATGGTAACTTATGCAGGCGTACCGTGGTGAGCATTCCCAACGGACCATCTGCATTAGCTGTGAAGGAAGCAGCATGGGGTTTGGCTCGCTACGCTGCCATTTCTCAAGATAGTGGTTTGGTCCCAATTGTGGAGCCAGAGATTTTGTTAGACGGTGAACATGGTATTGACAGGACTTTTGAGGTAGCCCAGAAGGTTTGGGCTGAGGTCTTCTTCTATTTGGCGGAGAACAATGTTATGTTTGAGGGTATCCTCCTGAAGCCGAGCATGGTCACTCCTGGTGCTGAATGCAAAGACAGGGCCACTCCTCAGCAAGTCGCGGACTATACTCTCAGTCTCCTTAAAAGGAGGATCCCCCCAGCTGTCCCTGGAATCATGGTAAGTCTCCTCTATTTCTATGAATTTAGCTAGTTTTTAAGAAACTTGAGTTACTCCCTACGTTTCATCTTATATTATAGTGTTTGACTGAGCACAAAATTTAACAAACAAAGAAAGATTGTCGGCACATGGCTCAAGTAGCCTTAAAATGTGTGCTCTTAAAAATTCTATGAGTTATTCTTTTCGGAACAGATTAAAAAGAAAAGTACCGTATAAGATGGAACAGAGTCAGTACTTTTATTTGTCTACATATAGAATATGAATCATTAGTCCATTACTAGTAATATTCTTATGCTTTTCTGAGCCGAGGGTCTATTGGAAACAGCCTCTCTATCCTCACAAGGTAGGGGTAAGATCTGCGTACACAGTATCCTCCCCAGACCTCACAGTGTGGGATAATACTGGGTATGTAGCTGTTGTTGTAGTCCATTACTAGTGATAGATGAATAAGTGAATAAACACTCAACAAGACTAACATAAACATTGGCACTAGGAAGGAAATTACTACATAATTTGTGCTAATTGATTCAATATTGTTGCAGTTCTTGTCTGGTGGGCAATCAGAAGTTGAGGCTACATTGAACTTGAATGCAATGAACCAAGCTCCAAACCCATGGCACGTATCGTTCTCATACGCGAGGGCTCTTCAGAACACTTGCTTGAAGACATGGGGAGGACAACCCGAGAATGTTAAGGCTGCTCAGGATGCATTACTTACCAGGGCCAAAGCCAACTCTCTTGCTCAGCTCGGAAAATACACTGGTGAGGGTGAATCAGATGAAGCTAAACAAGGGATGTTTGTAAAAGGCTATGTTTACTAAGTTACTGCACTGAAGTTTTTATGAAGACAAGAAAAAAGGATGATGAGCTGAATGACTATAGTGAAGCAGAGAAATGATGAATTCTCTCATATGAGTTATTATGCAATTAATAGTAAAGTCATAGAGAAGAGTATTTTTGTTTTTGATTACCTGTACTTTTTTAATGAACAAGTTTAATAAACTTTATTGCTGATTGAGATTAGTTAGTGTTGCTTAATGAATTATAAACCTGGAATTGTTTTGTGCTATATTTTATCTTGAAATAGCTTCTTGCTTCATTGTGGATACCATTAAAGTGGTAAAAATACTTAATGTCAACATGCACGTTTATACAGATTAGGTAGAACAAACATCACTTTTAGCTCGTGACTGAAACTATTTAAATTCAGTAGGTATATAAAATTTATATATTTTTTGTATATAATATACAGAAATGTGTATATATAAAAAACATATATTTTTTCGACTATTATTTTGAGAGTGGCTATACAGTGTCATTTTTCCTAAATTATTTTAATTCTAAGTAACCAAAACTACATTAGATGTTAAAGAGGTGGCAAATGGGCGCGTTGGGCAGGTCAAGATGGATTGGGTCAATAAATGGGCAATTGCCCAATGCAATCAAAAGTGTACTTGGGCTAAGATAGGCTAGGTCAAGATGGGCTAAACAATGAGTCATAGCCCAACCCACCCAACTTGACCCATGTTTTTTACCATGCTCATTTTGTATAAACAAAGCCTTTTACCTTTTATACACCTATGTATGTGTCCTACTTTCTTAGCTTCTTCATAATTTGTTCATTCCATGCACGAACGATGAATTGCTATATATATAATTTCAAATTTTTAGCTAAGAAACACATATAGATTAATCTTATACTCAACTATTCATAAACTTTTATAATTTTCTAAAACTAAATAAATATTTAAGAGTGTATAATAAAGAAGAAGAAAAAAAAAAGCAAAAAAAAAATAGCGGTTGAAAAAAAAAGACAATGTTTCAGAAAATCTTTTGAAGAAAATTTTTGTGCAAGACAAAGGTTTAGCTAGTTGAATTTTTTTCCTGATGTTGGAATTGTTCCATTAATAATTCATTTGGAAAAGAGCCTTCCAGCCACACAAAATTTTCAGAAAAGTTTGTTGATTAAATCTTTTAGAGAAAAACAACCCATATATATATATATATATATATACACACACCTTTGATCTTTGTAATAATATATATTAATACATTAGTAACAAAGAAAACTGCTAAAAATTTAAACCATGTATAGAATACCTTTGAGGTATTTACTGAGTATCCAGATTTTTGGACTATAAAAATGGAGAATAAGAAGATGAATCATGAAATAGGCGAAAACGAGGGGAAAATCTCCAAGAGATTAAAGTCATTTTTTGTTTATGGGAGAGTGAGAGAAGAATCAAATTAATAATGTTGAAATAATTACTGATAAAGATAGAAACTGATTCCTCATTTTTTAATAGGGGCAGTAACGTTTATATGGTAGTTATACTAAATATAGGCTATAGGCTTTGTTTTAAATACAATATATCACGTTCTGGCTGAACTTGTGCTTTAGTACTTATTTTGAAAATCACATTTTAATTCTTTAAATTTCTATAAGGTAAATAAATCTATAATTTTTGAAATAAACCAAAAGTTGTGTTGTTTACATAAATAAGTTTTAAAATATGAGCTACCGCATAAAAACCTCCTATTTATTTTTAGAGATTTTTTCTTTCCAATACCATATATGAAACCTTATTATTAAAAATGTGCATAGTTTCTATTTTACCCGCCCTGTCCACATTTCTTCTAGAGTTATTATACCAATCATTAAATACTAGTTAATAGGAGTTGAATCTTCCTAATTTGTCGAGCTAAAATTGAGGAACAAATATTCTAAAAAGATTTGGCGTAAATCAGATCAAATCATATTCTTCCAGATATTCCTATTTAGGCGCGCTACAATTATGGAAGCAAATATTCTTCCAGATATTTTCGACCATTGATAGCCATTGAAAAGCTTGAAAGGTTTGAATTCAAATTTGGGTTTTCAAAAATCATTATTTGTTTGGATTGGGTGTTGTTGAAAATAATCGGGAATATGGTTTGGAGTTTATATCTCAATTTTGAGGGGTTTTGGTGAAGATTAGACTTGGTTTTGACTGAATTTCAGATTGAAACTCGAAGAAGAAGAAGAAGAAGAAGAAGAAGAAGAAGAAGAAGAAGAAGAAAAAGAAGAAGAAGAAGACATATTGCATAAATTGTAGATTATTTGTATTCTGATTGTATATGCTTTATTTTCTGTTTTCACAAATAAAAAACGGCTAAAACTTCTATAAATCTTCTGAAAAAACGCAACTATGTCAAAAATCACAATTATGCTACAATTAAATGGGAATTGGGATATAAAAATTCAATGTACCCAGTTTGTAGATATTTTGTAGATAAATTGTAGATTATTTGTATTTTAATTGTAGATGCTTTGTTTTCTCGTTCTCACAAATCAAAAACGACTAAAACTTCTACAAATCTTCTGCAAAAAACGAAATTATGTCGAAAATACCAATTAAACTACAATCGAATGGGAATTGGGATATTAAAATTGAATATACCCAGTTTGTAGATATTTTGTAGATGAATTGTAGATTATTTGTATTCTAATTGTAGATGCTTTTTTTTCTGTTTTCACAAATCAAAAACGACTAAAACTTCTACAAATCTTCTGCAAAAAACAATCTACAATTTATCTACAATTTTTCTACAATTTCTGCAATATGTCGTCTTCTTCTTCTTCTTCTTCGAGTTTCAATCTGAAATTCAGTTAAAATCAAGTCTAAATCTTCACCAAAACCCCTCAAAATTGAGATATAAACTCCAAAACATATTTCCAATTATTTACAACAACACCCAATCAAAACAAATAATGATTTTTGAAAACCCAAAATTAGGGTTTAAGACCTCTTTCTTACACTCTCTTCTTCACCAACCTCGTAAACAACATGACAACCTTAAACCCTGTCTGTTCCAAAACAAACCAAATTCACAAACAATTCCTACATAATCAACGTCCAATTTATGCTAAACCCATTTCTTGTCTCTCTTTAAGAACCCCACCCCCACCATTTTCCACCTCTTTCTTCTCCATTAAAGCCACCTTTTCTCAAAACCCTAACCCATTATCCCTCAAAACCCTAATGAAAAATCCCAAAACCCATTCTCATTCCTCAAGCCGACACTCGTTGCTACAGTTACTGCCACTGCCCTTATCTTTTCAAGATTCTATTTTTTCCCAAAACCTTCAATTTCTGCTCAGAATTTTGCTCCTCCTCCTGCTGCTGTGGAAACTGATGTGAGAGAAGCAGTTTCAGAGGAGGAAAAAGAAAGGGCAATTGAGGAACACTTGGTTTCAAACCCGGATGACGTGGAAGCATTAAGGAATTTGATGGAAATTAAGATAAAGAACAAGAAAATGCTTGATGCTATTAGTATTATTGATAAATTGATTGAGGTGCAACCGAATGAATCTGAATGGCCATTGATGAAATCCCATTTGTATGTTAACATTGGTGAGGTTGGATTGGCCAAAGTTGGGTTCAATGAGATATTAAAAAAAGACCCTTCTTGCGTCGAGGCATATCATGGGCTAGTTATGGCTGCGTCGCAAGATGAGTCGATCGAAGATTTGAAGGGGATTGAGAAAATGATTGAGGAGGGGATGAAATTGTGTAAGAAGGAGAATAAAAAGACTGACTTGAGGGATTTTAAGCTATTGCTTGCACAAATTCGGGTGATCGAAGGGAAATATGAAGATGCATTGAAGGTTTACGGGGAGTTAGTTAAAGAGGAGCCTAGGGATTTTAGGCCTTATTTGTGTCAAGGGATAATATACACTTTGTTGAGGAAAAGCAATGAGGCTGAAAAGTGTTTCGAGAAGTATAGAAGACTTGTACCACAAGGGCATCCCTATGCTAGGTATTTCGATGAGAATATGATCGCAACAAAGGTTTTTGCACAGAAGGTGGAGAATGAGAGAGATGGGTCGAAAAGTTGAATCGAATAAGGGTTTGGTTCAGTTGAAGTTCAAGATTGGATGATAGAGGTATGGTGGAAAATGGTTTGCTTTATATGTTATTAGCTTGATAATGGTTTTAGCTTACTAGATATTTCGATTTAGTTTGTCTGCTTTGCATAGATTGGTTGTTATATCAGTTACGGATTAGCTATTAGGGTCAGAAAAGGAAAATTTTTGTAAGTGAGGAGAATGATGCTCAGGCTCGTTGATTATCAGCAGGTTCTTGAATGATGTAATATCATAGTTCATTTAATCAAGAATGAAAGGGCGAATTATGCTTTGTGATTTTGTCTTAGTACTTTTGAAATTTCTAACAATGTGCTTGATATGAGTTGTCCTTATCCAAAAAAATGTGATTTATATGTGTTGTGAGTTTGAGGTGGAAGACACAGAGACTGCATGTGAAATTTTGCTGCTATAGTAATAGATATGTAAAGAGCAGTTTCATGAATGACTCTGCTTCATTGTCAACGTTCCGGTTTTTCCCATCGATAGTTGAATGTTTGGGTCTTTTTACCTTACCTGATAAAAAAAAAAATTTTGTTTGGATCTGGTTTTAATCACGATCTCATCTAGTATAAACCTTACCCCGTGGGTATAGTGTGTTTTTTTTAAAACTTCACTTGGTCTTTCCTTTGCAAAGATAACTAGTTTTGAGCAAGTCTAACCATCAGTGCTTTAGAATATTTCTTTATGGTGTTTTGTTGTCTGATAAAACTTGTACTGTACCACCACAGTTAATCATGTTGCATGGTGTCTGGTGCGGGCCCCGTGCCCCTTTGAAAATTGGGAGGGTTGAGTACCATCCACGCTTGGTTGTACTCATAACCACGTCAGGTCTCCATGGGGAAAAAGTGAAAATTCACTGTCTTGAAGGTTTTATTTTGTTTTGATAAGTCTGTCTTACAGATAAATAAACATGACTCATGACTGCAAGGTCTGGTCTAGATTCTTATCCTTGTATAGATGCGAAAGAGTTTTGCAATAATACTAGGTTAGCGAGCACACTTTGAGGAGGCAGGCATTCTTGTCATTGCAGTTGTTTCCTGGAATATATGTTGGATGTTCCTAAGCAGTTATTATGTTCTTGCCTTTGAGTGTTGTCAAAGGAGTAGCTTAAAGC